ATCTTAAATGTAGGCGCTCAGAAAATGCCCCTACATGCAAAAAAAGGGATGTAGGCGTAAAATTCAAGCGCCTACATATGTAGGCGCACCCAAATTACGCCTACAGTCGAAAAAATAAAATGTAGGCGTAATTTCCGTGCGCCCACATATGTAGGCGCTTCAAATTGACGCCGACATTTCATTTTTTCGACTGTAGGCGTATACAAATGACGCCTACATTGGTTTTCCAGCCTGTAGGCGTCATTTGAAAAGGGATAAAGCGCCTACAGGCTGTATGTAGGCGCTTTTTCGTGGGAAAAAGGCATGTAGGCGCTGTTTTGGCAGCGCCTACATGGATTTTGTGTGGGCTGCAAATAGCAACGGCCCTAGAATATCCGCTTAGTGTCTTTCCGGCCCATCCGCTCAAGGCAACATGTTTCCCGGCTTGCCCGGCTCGTTCTTTTGCAGATTCGAAGTGCTTTGGTAGCTTCATTATCAATGTGAAGAGAGGAGTTGGTGTGAGGTGGTGTCTAGGAGGGGAACTGTTTGGTATGTAGGTTTCCCTCTATCTCGTTTGATTCTCTCACTTCTCACAATTTCCTCTCTAAACTCTGAAGTCGAGTCATGCTTCCTCCGAGACGGAAAACGACATTCTCTCGCGTTTCAACTCCAGGCTCTTACATTGTGTCTCGTCTCGCGAGGGTGTCTTATTCAAATCATTCATTTCATTCCTGTGTCAAGAACCGTTTCAGATCATCTGGGATCACCACTCTTACTTCGTCATGGTCCTTTTTAGTTGAGTCATGACCCCTTGAAAGTTTATCCGCGGCGTTGTCCTCGGACACCACTCTCTTCTGCTTAATTCGACAATCTAATCTCATCAGTTCTTTTTGGATCTTCATCCATTCCCTGTTTACCAGCAGGTTCCGTGATTTCCCGTTTTTAATGGCGGCTTCTGTAACGACGTTATCGGTGAGCATCAAAAACTCGTAACCTCTGACGTCCACCAAAGTTGATAGCATCTGCAGACCCAAGCGTGCGGCGACCGTTTCTGCCCACGCTATTTCTCTGCGCTCACCATTTTCTTCGGTCCTGTCCCAGCCTCTCCTGAGACGAAAACGGGCCCACTTCCTTCCTATTATTATCCCGATGCCGTAAGACGTGGATGCGTCTCCCACCCATGCGACGTTTCGCACGCCCTTATGTGGAATCAATCTTCGAGGATCAGCCTCCGTCAATGTTTGTCTCCAAACCTTTAGGTCCTCCTTCACTTCATGTGGGATATCTCGTAAGGCTGATTTATGCACCCACTCGGCCATCCACCTGTACATGGCCATGCAGTAACACTTCAGTTGTGGGTAGACCAGAGTTGCGTGTGCGAGTTGTCCGGCTAGTTTTTCCACGTCTTTGAAACGGACGGATTTTTCAAGGTAAAATTTGTCTATCTGAGCTATTCGTTCCTTCCTTTTCTCCTCTGGGATGCTGACCGTCTTATTCTTTCCGTCCCACAGGAAACCGAGGTATTTCTGTGTGAAGCTGAATTCACGCCACTTCTTCGTGTTGGTGACGACACCCATTGATTCACTCAGGTTGGCTACGTCTTGCATGGACGCGTTGTTCGAACCGTTGTTCTCTTTGATAAACAAGGTGTCGTCCACCCATCGAAATCCGGCTTTGAAGCCTAGTTTCGCGAGGACTATCTGTTTCCACGCGTCTGCCGCCTTTCCGAATACTCCGCAGCCTGCCACACCTCCAAAAGTCACCCTCGTGTCAAGGATCACGTCGCCGTTGAAGTCTAGGATCATTAAAAATGGCCATTGCGAGATTAAGGTCGGTATTTGCCTATAAGCCTTGGCCCAGTCAAATATCCCTAACAACAACTCCCCCTTCGACGACAGAAAGAACGCTGCTACGATCTCAAAATCGTCCCATGATGTTACGAAATCCTCTTTATCAACGTGCGCGTTCACTGATGATACGTACGAGTCGTTACGGGGGAAAGATAAATCGTTGATCGGCCTCAGGGAGCCGTCCCCGTTTGTTACCGCGCCTAAAGGGCTGGTTCGGAAGAAACCCACCACCTCGTAAGCCTCTTCTTTGGAAAACGGGCCATACATCCTCCCGGCTCTTATCTCTTCCTTCAAACTTGCTTCTATCTCTTCTCTGGCGTCTGATGCTGATGAGTGATTGGGTGGGCAGAAAAACCTCATACCACGAATTGGGGTTTCTGGTATACCCTGGTCAAAACCTCTTTCAAAACCTTTGATTATGCTCCAATTCTCATCTAATATGCCTGCGGCGTCGAGTTCTTCTACCCACCTGTTGATCTTCATCTCACATCTCACTCTCGATGGCCATCGGCTTAGGCGTGGCCATCTTGCTTGGCTCACTGGATTGTCACTGGTAGGAGGGAAGGGCGGGGGGAGGCAAGAGCAATGAACATGTCAGGATATACTGATGGCAAACGGGTCTAGCAAGTCTTGGATTCAGATGAGGTGTTCTTTTGGACAATTGGGTGTGCTTCAGGGGAACAATTGCGCCTAAAAAGGCTGGAGGTCATGTTTTGACTTCTCATCTTTATTCCTTCTCATTTCTGTCCCCCGCGTTACATCTGTGTTCTTAGGATGATGCGATACTTACTAGTATCGGCCTTTCCCGCTTTTACCTCCGTACCGATAGCCTTGGCCTCCTCTGTCTCTGCTGCGACTACGGCTCCTGTCACGCCTCTTCTCGTCTCTCCAGTTAGCTTTCTCTGCATAACGCCCGGCTGCCTTCCCCCAGTCTTCTCTTTTCGAGTTTCTTGCCGCTCTCTCGGCCTTTTTCTTTGCCTCCCACTCGTCGTCTGGTAGCCATTTCCGTTTCGGTTTCCGACTGAGTTCATAGTTAGCAGCTTCTGTCGGTTGACCTTTCTTCGCGTTGCTGGTTGAGGAGGAGGATCGGGCCAGTCCACTCTCCGGATCTATGTGATCCTTTGGGCCTCCAGGTGCGTGCGGATTTGTCTGGTAAGCACGCTCCCCCAGATTCTCGCACACTTGCTTCACCTCGTCCAGGATTCTGACTTGGAGCTTTGAGATATTACATATCTTCTGATCAACTGTCACTCTCATAACCCCTTGACGTATCCTCCTACAATATCTCAGGGCTACCATCCACCCAGTGTTATCGCGTAGGTCCATCACGATGTCCATATGCGACCTAAACCTTTCGGCCTGAGTAACCCATCCTGCTTCCTCAACGTACCGAACGAACAGCTTCATACTATCCAGCCATTCTTCAAATTGCATCAAGAGTTCCTCGGGGGGCGGTTTCCCTCCGTATGCTTTCACGTTTGCGCCTCCTTTGAGGATCTTCGCTTCTGTCTGCGGCTCCTTAACTTCCCACTCTTTTTGATCTTCTCGAAGCCACCGTTTGTTGAAAACCGTCAGAGGAATGTATGCTTTGAAAGTCTTCAACCACACTTGTAAGACTTGGGATAGCGGGGTAAGTATCCTCTCCATCTGTTCAGAGTCGTCGTTCAAGATTCGCCTCCCGTTTTCTATCACGTCCCCATTCGACAGGACCATTCGACCTTTCCCCGATTCCAACATTGCCTTCGCCAACTCTTCCTCTGAATTACCAGCATCTAGTCCAGCGGCTTCGCGTTCTTGCCTCGTTACGTCCCTTGGTCTATCAGCCGGCACCTGGTCTCTCCCAGCCCTCGGTTCGTCTACCGGTTCACGTCTTGATGCCGGTGAGTTGCGACGTCTGGAAAGTGGTGGTGTTGGAGATTGGTTTTGTCGTGGAGGGGGAAGTGTGGGGCGTCCTCCCCGAGATGGTGAGGAGTCGTGGCTTGATGGAGGTGATGGTGGGCGTCCAGGCATCTGGCGGTGTCTAGAAGTCTGTGGGATGTCGGAGACCGCGTTGGACAAGTTTTCCTGGATCAAGGTGTAAGGGCTCCTTCTCGATACCCCGGCTCGGTTCGTTTCCGCTAGTGTATCTACTTCTTCGGGCGTTGGGGTCTTCTCCCTTTGTTGAGGTGGTGACGGATTAGGGGCAGCTTGTTGTACGAGGTTCCTTCTCACGCTTGGGCCGGGCGTTGGGTTTCTGGGTGCTGACCCCCTCTCGTTTCTTGGTTCTTGCAGGAACGTATCTGAGTAGTATGCGAGGAGTGCTGCACCCTTGGACCACTCGTGCTTAGAGTATAATTCGGCAATTTCACCTTGCATCCGGATCATTTCATCTCCTTCTGCTTCTGCTGTTAACGACAATCAGAACCAATTGGCGTAAGTGATCTCTTTCTTCACGTTATCCGTGGAGTATCCTCGTGTTAATCTCCCTCTATACGTCAACTTGCCAACATGGCCGCCACAGGGTGTGGCCGATTCTTAACTCGAATCCGCCAGAAGTTCTGGCCGTCACTTCGCGTGACCGATTCCATATACGAATCCGCCAGAGGTAGTCTATTTACGTGGCTGTCACCCTGTGACTTCGGCATCTAAGCCCGCCAGCGGTTGGTATTCCACAACTTAGCCGTCGTCTCAACGACCTTACTTTCGGACCTTTAGTCCTACTCGTCCTCATTCGGGTTCGGCATATTCGACATTGCGGTAGGGTATGGAGTGTTCTTCTTACGGATTGATTAATTGATATTTGCTTGAGACTTACACATTGCTGATTCCTCTTCTTCTACAGACGCTGCTCTACCCTTCCCTTTCGACCCTGATTCCTCCGGTTGGTAAGATCCATCCTCTTCGTCCGAACCAATCAACTCTTCCGCTAGTAACAGATCGTAATCGACCGGTTGACCATCTTCATCGCCTTCATCTAGTTCCTCCACAGTTTCCATGACCGTTTCCTTCGTTGCGGTCTTTTTCCCATTGCCTCTGCTTGGTAGAGCTAAAGCTGGTCCTGGGAGTGCACCTGTTGCTGCTGCCGTCGATCTTGTTAGACGGGCTACGTTTTCTTCTGCTTGTGCCAACCTTGCGGCTAATTCTTCTTTGTTTGAGCTGTTCATCTTTGATGTTTGATAATTTATAACTTTGAATCTTAAATTGAGATTTGTTGAAATTTATTTGACAATGAAATCAGAACTCAAACCTTGGAAGAGAGTTTGTTGGTGATTGATGACTTAGCCTGGTTGACGGGTTCAGAGTGGAGAATTTCTTGAAGGGAAATTCTCTTATTTGGATGTACTGGGACTCCCGCGGGAATGGTCTCTGTACAGTCTCTTAAGTTCACTCTTAACTCATGGCTAAGTGTCCGTGGGCTACAGAACCAAACGTGCCTTTTTGGTTCTACCAAGAAGACTGCAGAGGATGTATTCGTACTCAAATTGAAACTCGATTGATCAAGCAAAACTCAACTCTTGAATCAATTATTATTCTTTGCCATCATTGATATTGATAGCTTGTACGCAAGGATTCAAAGAAAGGTGAAGATTTAGGATCTCACATTAATCTTAAACTAGCCTTGATCAGAGTTTGTTTCTTTGATCTATGTTGTTTAAACTATTGCTTGAAATCTGTTGAAAACTCCATAGCTGACATTGCTTTTGATCCTATCAAGCTTTTTTCAAATGGGTCACTAGATTGGTCGATTGATAGTGGAAACAGATGAGTTTTAACAAGATATAAAAAAAGTATATAGGAGAATTGACCTATGAGCTCGAATTTATTATGAGTATATAAAAAACTATAACACATTTGATATTAGATCACTTGATCACAATAACAATAATGAAGTTAGTAATATATCAAATTTCATGAGTTATTGATCAATTCTCAATATTTCAGACCTCGGATTCAATCAACTTTTAAAATTCTTTTGTAGTTCACGGAAATCACATACTACAGAAGATAGTCACCCTTTATCTTCAACTCCTCATCTTGATCAACTCAAAAAAAGCTTACACCGAGTATCTGCTGTTTCCAATAAATGTGTTTGTCAAATAACCACTGATTATTTCTTTAATTTGGTTCATTTCAGGTACAAAAATGATCATCATCCTGGATTATTCAACCTGCAAACAAGTGGAGGAGATGCTTTGATATTCGCTCACTGTTAGTCTTGACCCATTTATCCGGCTATGAGTTTGAGTTTGAGTTTGAATCTGACTTTCTTTTCTTTTGCAGGAATTTAAGTTCTTCCATACATCTCCATGCTGTACATTCATTGGCAGAATTTCTTCATCGGAATTGCACTTATTTTGCTGCTCATGATATTGAGTTTTCAATATTCATCTTTCTTTTTTCAATGACTGATTTCAGCAAGCATTCTCTATAGGGACTAGATACAACTAGAAGACCGGGAAGGCTATCATCAGACCAAGCAATCTTGAACAGATTGGCTTTGTTTGTGATCACAAACATTGTCAATCTGCTACTCAGTTGTTAACTGGGCATCTTTTGTTTTTTCAAGTCTGCGACTCTGACTATATCATTACCTCTCAGCCCCACAACAACAGGAAGAAGAACAACCTCAACCCATCATCACAATCCAACTCAGGTTTGAAGCTCATTACAGCCACTCAACAACTGTCATTCAAGTCAAGAACAGGATTCTTGGGATCCTAATGAAGAAATCTGACGTTCTCGGAGCCCTTGGGTAAGTATGCCAATTTTTCCTATCTCTTTGCTGCTATCGTATTGCAACTTATTGCAAGATTACCACCAATAATCAATGATTAGGTGAAGAGAGTCTAGATGAAATCTACACAAAGTATTTCAATGCTAAAACATGAATCTAAAAGTCTGAAGCTGAGATATGTTTGCTCCACTTGAACAAAAGGTCAACAAATCTTATGTAATTTTTACAAAGATTCAGTTCTACCTATGAAAATTGCAGGCGAGTTTGATAAAAAAGGATTGATTTCAAAGATTACAACTTATGTGACGGGCAACTCATGTATGTCTGATTCTTTGGGTTTGGCTCTTTTGGCCCAATTGGAAAAAACTTGTTGAACAGAGCATTGTTATTGAAGGCTTGATAATTTTGTTAAAAGCTATCATCAAAGTAAATGCTCAGCTCAAGATTGAGAAAAAAGTTCATCAGATTCATATGATCTTTGATTTGCTCAAAAGGAATGCTTTTAAAGAGAGTCATGAACTCCTTCCCCTGTTTTCTCCAATCAAACTCTATTCACTACATAGGCTGCTATCACATGATTTCTGATCGTTTCTATTCTTGATAGATATGACTGTCATTCATACTTGATGTCCAAGAGATACATATTTCCTTGGTTTAACACACATCAATGCTCATATACAGTCAAACCTGCGCAAATTTATACCCATGCAGCTGTGTAACTTGTGATAATGCATACACAAAAATTGAATCTTGATTATTTTTACTGCCAAGTTTGACAACAGAATTGTGTAACCCATCAAAATGCATAGGAAATTGTGTCCAGCAAAATTATGTGATTGTGTGGGTTTGTTTACTGACACTTCAGCAGTGGGAAACACACTTGGCGACCTCAACCTGACACAATTTGTTTGCAACCGCAATACCTGAAGCATCTTTCCACAAAAAGCAAAAGCAGGGTGGCAGCGGATTGATGGACAGCTGTCTCAGCATTGAGGGACTTAGTTAAGTTAGGGGTTTGCCAAGTCGAAATTTTGATGTGTTTGGATTATATGTGACATGGCGGCGTCAGCCGCTAAAGCGGCGCCCGCCGCTAATTTGCTAGTAAACCCATAACTCTAGATCAGAGTTTTTCCCCGAGGGGAATTTGGAATAGTACACATCCCAAATTCCCACGATACCTCACTTTGGCTCAACTCTATCTATCTAGTCCATTCTCACGGTTGGAGAATTTCAAGTCGGATTGCAAAACTGAAGACAAGCGTAAGACAGCGAGAAAATGACATCACTAACAAATGAACTAGAAGAGACACAAGCTAGACTAGAAGCAGCCGGATTGAAAACAAGAAAGAAAGGACAAGGTGAAGGTACGACCAAAGTGACGACAAGAAGCCAGTCGGCAAACAGAGGAGAAGGGACAAGTGGAAGCGGAACAGCGGGACCAAGTGGAGGTGCGAGTGGCGTGGTACAACCGGATGGTGAACCAGAAGGAGCACAGGAAGGACAAAAAGAGGAAGCGCAGGATGAGGCGGAAGGGAACAGAGAGGAGGAAGGAAATGGTGAAAGTAAGTGAACCACCTGTGAATAAGTAATCCTATCCACAACCAAGTCGAACAGACAAAGAGAACGGTCAGCTTCCAGCAGCACACATCATAGTCTATACGTTATATGACTCTCTGTATCTCAATCACCCACCTTATCCACAAACCAAGTCGTTCACCGTCCCTTAGAACCACTGTCGAGTCTACACTTCCTATTTCCTATTCCAACGTTGTGGTGATCAATTTATGGGATCAATTAAAAAATTCACAATTACCAGTTTACCAGTTTATTAGCAGGATTCAGCAGGAAAGAAAATTCGAAATGGAGGTTTTTGATCAATTGAAGCTCTTGTAGGCTTATGTATTGGTCTTTAGGTCAACATTACATCATTTTTATTTCACATTATATATTAAGATCATTATAGTTTACTTACAAATTTATTACAAAAAGAAAACAAGAAAAACATAAGAAAAATTCGAAATTATAGGTACAAAGGTTGGAAAATGGTTTTTAGGTTAGTAAAAATAAAGTTATGGGTATTATGAGGTTAGAATATGAAAGAACAACATTATATTATACTATGACAATTTTAATCTTCAAGGTTGATAAGTAGAAACAGAAGTTATTAGGGAAAAGGCACTTTTTCGAAGTTGGTAAACAAGAGGTACACGTGTAGTTTGGTTGTGTAATAGTGGTAGTGATGGAATTTAAGGTTGCCAAGAGGATTTTTCGGGATTTTTAAGGTTATAGATGATGATGTCATATTACAAGAGCAAGAAAAAGAGAGTAGTAGCTGTGAAAAGTGAAGAAAATGGGTGAAATTCGTGGAAAATGGAGGTTTTCAGCTAATTACATATGTCAAATGACGTCAGAATAGGTTGGTAGATGGCTCATTCAACGCAGAAGAGTGGATTACATAATGTACAAACTTTAAATCATTAGTAATGGAGGTGTGTGTAAAAAGTTATAAGGCAAATAAAGAATTGGTGTGAATCTCGAATTTACAGTCACAAGTCACATGTAACACTAAAAACTTTAACTTCACAACTCAATATCTTACTCATCACTCATCAGAAGTAGGTCATGTAGGTGTCAGAAATGATCAGTAACACGTGGGCTACAAGATGCACTTTAGTAATCAAAAATTGGAGCACATCTGAAAAAATTCGTAATCTCAAAAATTGGTTTTCAGCTAGTTTACAAGGAAAAAATCACCTGTATTCATCATAAGAAGTGCTGTACATCATATTATTGCGTCATTGATCACTTTTAGCTGTGAAAATTACATCATTTATTAGTAACAAAATCATTACATTGCGTCATCATAGGGTTTTTAGGGAATTTTGGGCGGATTTGATTGGTTTTGAGGCTGTTGACCATTGTAAAAGTTCTAGTACATTGTTATATATACTTTGAGAGGGTTTTGGGACTGTTGTTCCCCTTTTTTTCTTTATCATTTACGCCATTATTATTTTGTTTATCATTATAAACTTATTTTAATAGTACCTGGTCACTTAAATACGCCCTTTATTACAATTATAAAGAGAATTGACTTTAGTTTTATAGTCATAAAGACTTATTGAGAATAATATCAATCAGATATTGCTTATTTCTTTTAGTTATCAATTGGGAATAACACTATAGCAGTGTTGATAGTAATACAAAGTGTGCTTTTGAAGTTAAATTACGTGTGAAGATATATTTCTCTGGTGCCTTATCAGTACTCAATACAACAGAGCTCTTTCTGATTGTGTTGTTTTAGAAGAGCAGTCCTTAGACAACTTCTACTAGTCATTTTATTAGTGGATTATCCTCTTCCAGCTCTGTATAACCCTTGTTGGGTTATAAGTTCTACAATGTTTAACTCCAAACCACGTAACCCAAAGGAAG